AGAGAGAGAGAAGAAAGACACAGTAGAGATCGGATAATAGGTCTCTATGCGGTGTAGCAGCCAGGGCAAGCCAGCCATCGACAAATGGCCGTGGCCATGCAATAAACAAGCCGCGCAATTAAGAGAGCAGGTTAATTAATGTGGACCAACTAGGAGGAGAAGGGTCCCTGATCCCTTTCCAATCTTTCCTTCTCCTTTCGTTAGCCAGTTTCTCTCCTCTTTGTTCCGTTCTCTTTTCTTCCCTTCTCCTTTTGTATTTCCAATGGTCTTGCTTCTTGTTTCACGATTCGTCCTCTTCTCTTCTCTTCTCTTTGCTCTCTCTCCTGTCTCTCTCCCTCCCTTCTTGTCGGCGTAACCACCTCCCTTCTTGTCGGCGTGCACGGTAGTTATCGAGAACCGAACCGACCTTTTTTTGCGGTAGTGGGGCGTGTACACAGCAGTCAGGACGTCACGGGATTTTCTTCTACTCTGGCTGATGTGTGGCCAAGAGGAAGAAGAAGGAGATGATGATGATGAAGAAGAAGAAGAAAAAGAAGAAGAAGAAGAAGAAGAAGAAGAAGAAGAGGGAGAAGAGAAGAAAGAGGATTCGGCAGGAAGTAAAATAGAGAGAGAGAGAGAGAGAGAGAGAGGGTGGGAAAGGGCGTGGAGGCGACGGCGGGATATATTCTGGTTATTCGTGAAATCGGTGAAATCGATTCGACACAAGGACCACGTCACTCGTAAATCCTGCTTTACGAGTTTCTCCTTCCAACATGACCTCGCTCGAGAACGTCGAACGAAGCTTGCGATGTTTGCAGGCCGACTGTCGATGCCTCTGTGAAATTAGAAGAATCGACTTCGATTCAATGTTATTTCGTTCGGTGGAGCAAGTGGTGTGGAGCAAGGATTTCAGCGTCGGTCCAATATCCTATCTATCTAGCGAATTTCTATATAAAAATAACTTACACGAGCAAGTTTCTTCTTTCTTAAATTGATGATTTCAATCGATTCATATCATTCAATCTTCATGTACGTGCATATGTTTCGTGGATGACTGTCGAAAGCTAAATATTAATAAACGTTGATATCAAGAATAGTAAAGTTACATCTCTCGTAACAATGTTGCAAATCGGATCATCGACGATAAGTTCTTTCTGATAGCAGAGATAGCGCTGTCAGCCGGAGCAAATATTCCGCAATCGTAATCCTATTGGTAAGCGCGGAGGAAATTGCATCTGCAGCTTGTCGACCGTACGTGCTCGTGACTGTATTGGATATCGATTATGGAGAATGTATCGCGGATAGACGTACGCGAGTGATCGTGATAATTATCAGGCATTTTCCATGGGCATTCAGCCGTATTCATTGACATTTTGACGTTAACGCGAGAATTGAAAAACAGAGATCGGATACGCTTGAATCGGTCTGCTTCAGCTTGTCCAGGCAGACGTGTTAATGAAATCCTTCTGTAACAATCCAATCAAATATTTATGAACGAAGAGACGTATTGAGTGGACGCTTAAACGGAAGTGTTCACTTGTCAAATTTCAGCAAAGTTTTTATCGATAGAACAACGAAATTTTGACTGGCAAAGAAGGCTATTATTTTTCTGACCAATTACGAAATGCTAATCTAACGATACCTTCTCGACTCTGTGTTTTATTAAATATAAACTTTTCATAGTTGAATGACAAATTGATGAATAGAACGGACAACTATTCAAATGCGATTCTAGTCAACGTAGGTGCAGTTCAATCAAAAGTCTGTGTGCGATCAACGTCAACAGGTGAAAAGTAAA